GTCATCAAATATGTGAAAGATGGTTGGCCAGATCAAGATAAGCTCAAAGGAATTCTCAAATTATACTGGCCTCACAGATCTACACTAACTGTCGAAGGTGGAATGCTTCTCAACGGTATCAGAATTGTCATACCACCAACTCTCCGCCAAGATATACTCAGCCACATTCATGATGGTCACCAAGGGATAACCAAATGCAGACGAAGAGCAATACATTCGGTATGGTGGCCAGGAATAAGTAGTAACATAAAGGAGCTTATTGACAACTGTTCTGTATGCAGTAAGAACAGGAAAAATCATCCGGAACCTCTAATCCCAACAGCTATGCCAGCACGACCATGGCAAAAGGTCGCAGCTGATCTAATGGAATTCAAGAAAGAACAATATTTAGTCGTGATAGACTACTATTCAAGATATATTGAACTCGCTCGACTAGACAGAATCACAAGTAAGTGTGTAATCAAACACATGAAATCAATTTTTTTCAAGACATGGTGTACCTGAAATCCTTATATCTGACAATGGAACAAACTTTGTGTCATCGGAATTCGAAGCATTTGCTCGCGACCACAGGTTACGAGCAGTCCGAAGCACTCGTCAGGAAATGGAGAGGTTGAGCGTGCTGTACGCACCGTAAAGGAATTACTCTATGCATCTGACGATCCTTATAGTGCATTGCTTAGTTACAGAAGCACCCCATTAGCTAACGGCTATAGTCCTGCCGAACTCTTGATGTCTAGAAAACTACGAACCAAGGTTCCAGTCATACCAAAGACTTTGGAAGCCACATTACCTGATGTGCAAACACTAATGAGGAGAGAAGAGTCAACTAGAGTGAAACAACAATTTGATTTCAACCTTAGACATGCCGCAGCTCAAACCACTTCCTATTCTAAAGGAAGGAGAGAAGGTATGGATTAAGGATAGACAAGAAGATGGCACAGTACGTAACCAGGTGCACGATAGATCTTATATAGCAGATACTCCCAGTGGCACACTTAGACGAAACAGGATTCAACTCAACAAATTGCCAAAAACTACGTCAACAAGTGAAGTGGTCACACCATTCCCTATTCAAACTCAAAACACTGAATCAACCAAGAAAATAGCAAAACTCACTGAACCAAATCTACCAATTAGGACAAGATATGGACGTATCATCAAGAAACCTGATAGATTCCAGTGAACTTTATTTATTTAGACACAAGTCATTGTTATGTGTTTATTAAGTACATATCGGACATTGAACATTTAACTAAAACTTTTATAGTTTATTACTTAATGCATGTTCAAGTTCTATTAGCTTCCCAGTTTTGAAGGGAGATGTAATGTTATCGTATGCATATATTTATGTTCGGGTTACCTGTGTACCTCATGGTTTAGCCAAGATGGCGGAATAAAACAATCACACTACAATCCGTCTCCATTGGTCTCCATCCTCAACCATCCTAACAACACAGCTATAGCCCACCAAAATGGCAAAAAATGGTCCATTTTTGATGAAAATGCATGGTCTATAGCCCACCAAAATGACCAAAAATGGTCGATTTTTGATCAAGGTGCATGTGCTATAACACACCAAAATGGCCAAAAATCGTCGATTTTTGAAGAAAATGCATGGGCTATAGCCCACCAAAATGGCCAAAAATGGTTGATTTTTGATAAAAGTGCATGGGCTATATCCCACCACAATGGCCAAAAATGGTCGTGATTTTTGAAGAAAATGCATGGGCTATAGCCCACCAAAATGGCCAAAACTGGTCGATTTTTGATGAAAATGCATGGGCTATACCAAAATGGCCAAAAATGGTCGATTTTTGATCAAGCTGCATGTGCTATAACACACCAAAATGGCCAAAAATGGTCGATTTTTGAAGAAAATGCATGAGCTATAGCCCACCAAAATGGTCAAAACTGGTCGATTTTTGAAGAAAATGCCTGGACTATAGCCCACCAAAATGGCCAAAAATCATCGATTTTTGATGAAAATGCGTGAGCTATAGCCCACCAAAATGGCCAAAAATGGTCGGCTTTTGAAGAAACTGCATGGGCTATAGCCCACCAAAATGGCCAAAAATGGTCGATTTAAGAAAATGCATGGGCTATAGCCCACCAAAATGGCCAAAAATGACCGATTTTTGATCAATGTGCATGGGCTATAGCTCACCACAACTATTACTGAAAATCAAGGATGTTTGACTAGAATTCGTGATGGAAAACTCACCTGCCACACTGACGCGAAACATATAGTTTGTCTGACCAATAGCGTTAGATGCATGGCATGTGTATTGACCACGATGTAGATCAGGTTTTATAGAATACAGTTTTAAAGTGCTACTTGGTGGACTGTAATCTATACGAGGAATTGTTGCACCATAGAAGTCTGACCATATAAATTTTTGAATATTTTCACCATTGAACAGCCATGTGACACATGCTGGTGGGTTAGACTCGATTTTGCATTTTATTTCAACATTATTATCGCCTTCAACCAAATCTCTGTTCAGCTGTTCTGAGGTAACATTAGGAATATCTAGAGGGAGGACACCGTTAATTATTCAGTATTTGAATTTTTCCWCGCAGTTTCAAAAGATATTCTATCAAACTTTGCCATTTAGTTTGGTTGTCGCTATCTCCGCCATGTTGGATGAAAGAACAAAAGAAAGAAAGAGCAGTAGACTGGGAACGAGAGTACATTACAGGGGCGGATCCAGGATTTTTTTTAGGGGGGTGACTTTTGATTTTTTAAGAGTTAACATATTTAATTTTCCCGCCAAACGTACCACAGCAACCCGAATGCATGTGTGTTCTTAGATGCCCGAGACGCTAAAAAGTGTTAGTCCTTTTGAAAAGTGTTGTTTATCGAAATATCAACCAATTATTTCCCTATTTCCTTGATATGAATATTTCTATATTCAATTTATCCAGGAAAAAGGGGGGTGAACGTTCACCCAGTTCATCCCCCCTGTATCCGCCCCTGCATTAAATTACAAATTTATTACAAGAAAGATTATACCGAGACTAGTTCAGTGGTCCTGTCCAGGGCGGTGGGGGAGGGGGTGCCTTTTGTGGCAGATCCACTGAGTTTTTTTTGTACATGACGTCATGCCTAAAGATGCAGACCCCCTGGGGTCCACCCGTTAGATATTTGGTTGGTCAAGTTAAATATAGTCGATTGACAAAAGGTTGTCGTCAACCGGACTTCGTAGCACGCGACCCACCCGAACAGGTTTCTGGGTAAAAATCAATGAATAGTAGTGTCAATTTTTCGTCGGAGTATGACATTTTTTTAGAAAGAGGATTTTCTTCTCTTTTTTAAGAATTCGAAGACAAACATTGAACGTTGTTATCAATATCCTAGATACGACGCGGCTAGATTACTTGTGAATTTGAACGTTGTATTCCCCGCCATGATGAAAAACGATGTGAGGTGCAAAAATCAACATCACATGCCTGCATGATTAAATTCCCGTGATTTAAAAATTTCTGTCACACATTGTGTCAGTTCTTCCAATCACAAAGGCGTTCAAATCTCTAATTTGCCAGTTCATTGATTTTTACCCAGAAACCAGTTCGGGCTAGTCGCGTTTCGTGAAATCCTGTTGACGACAACCTTTCAGTGTCAATCGACTATATATGACATAGGCCGCCCAACTAATGCATTAGAGACAGAAAAGAACGAATGCGCACGCTTTTATTATGTATATGTATCGGCGCGCGCTCTTAAAAAAAATGCGGGTTACCTGTGGTATATTACGTCACTATCGCGCGCCTCGCGGGATACAAACTAGTCTGTGACAAGGTATGAAACACTGGTCACGTGACAAATATAATTTTGCTCATATTTCGCTGAAAAAACTGAAAAAACGACAATTTTCTTTCAAATAACAATACATCGCCAGATTTCCTAACTATCTCATGATTTTTAGTCTGAAATTTTTATTACATGAGGAGAAAATGAACGTTAAGCATTTTACTCGTCGTGGACCGATGTGTGCCCCAGGCAGCTGGGCATAAGATCTGAAACTATTGCGTCATCATCGGAAACCGAGCGGACTTCCAACTCGTGAGATTGTCGAGAACTATCGTGAACCATCGAGACTTTCACGGAGTATTTTCGTAATTCCCGAAGTATGTAGCTTTTACATCACATTTCTTGACGTCCTTTGTGTATAGTTTACAAAACAAAACAAAACATGAGCGAAATTACTCCAAACTTTGAGCAAAGGAAAGCCGTAGACCTGGCTATGTCTGGACACAATGTTTTTCTAAGTGGCAGAGCCGGTACAGGGAAAACTTTCACGGTCAAANCACCAAAAACCGCTTGCACATATAATCTAACATACCGCCATTTGTTTAATAACGCCACGGTATCGTCGGAGAATATGTCAGTTCTCCTCTGAGAAATTCTCCATCAATAATCGTTGTCTTTGGCGTTCAGGTCACCACCAAGGTTTTGTGCTTTTCCAACATTTTCACGAGGTATTTGACCGTGAAAGTTTTCCCTGTACCGGCTCTGCCACTTAGAAAAACATTGTGTCCAGACATAGCCAGGTCTACGGCTTTCCTTTGCTCAAAGTTTGGAGTAATTTCGCTCATGTTTTGTTTTGTTTTGTAAACTATACACAAAGGACGTCAAGAAATGTGATGTAAAAGCTACATACTTCGGGAATTACGAAAATACTCCGTGAAAGTCTCGATGGTTCACGATAGTTCTCGACAATCTCACGAGTTGGAAGTCCGCTCGGTTTCCGATGATGACTCAATAGTTTCAGATCTTATGCCCAGCTGCCTGGGGCACACATCGATCCATCACGTGACCAGTGTTTCATACCTTGTCACAGACTAGTTTGTATCCCGCGAGGCGCGCGATAGTGACGTAATACCACAGGTAACCCACAGCGCACGCCGATTCGATAACATAATATAAAAGCGTGCGCATTCATTCTTTTCTTTCTCTCAAGCAATAGTTGGGTAGCCTATGTATATGACTGCAGATTACGAGCATTTGAAATTTATCAATAACATGAAACGGGACTGGTCATGCACTCTCCTTTGCTATTTTCATTCAATATGGCGGCTGTTTCATAACGTGCAAAGCCAACGTGCAGTAACGCCATTTTGTTGTGCAAAGCATGACGGTACAGTAAATATTGTCCTCGAGCTTTAGAGCGGATTTCGTATGACTGTGCAAAACCATGAATCTCAACACAGACACGGCACGGTCACGGAACCTCGCCTGGTAGCTGTGATCCAAGTAAAATAAGAAATCAAGAATCACACAATCACCGTCATGGCACGGTGCAGACACGGCACGAAAGTGCAGTATTAATGTTTTTTTGCACAGTCATACGAAATCCGCTCTATTCTTTCAGTTCTCCAAACTCGCTCACTCGCTCTCGTGTTTTCTTCGCATGAAAGTATTGCCTGGTTTCTGTACTAAAAGAAAACACCAAAACATATTTTGTGGACCAATGTTTTGGCGGACCTTGCTTTGTTTTTGAAAACGTAATGGCGTCGCAAAAATTTGCCCATTTGACTGTATGACTAAGTATAACAAACAATTATTACATCAAATCATGCGTCGTATTCACAGAAATACCTTTTGGAGTTTGAGGGTTGTAGTAGCTACACTGTGACGTTTGAGGTGCAGGCCCTACCGACAATAAAATCCTCAGTATAGTAACCCAGGGGGTTTTGAATGGGGTCGTGGGAGATTTTGCGCGTGCGAAAGAAAGGCAGACCATGGGTTTCCGAGGATGTCAGTATGACAAGTTGACTTGAATGTGAGGTTGAAACTCAACCGAGGAGGGRGCACAATAAATAATATACTGATCTTGAAGAACCTTCTTGGAATACAGGATTAGCCTCAAATCAGAGAAAAAATGTCATGACAGCATTTTTCGTTCTTCTTCCGCTGCGCTTTCCAGTTTCACATACATTTCTTTAAATTTCTTATTTCTCAATCTTTCAATCTAAAGCTTTTTAAAGCTTTAAAAATTAAAATTTAAAATTTAAAATTTAAAAATTTGAAAATTTTTAAAATTTAAAGATCGTTTACATTTGATTTGTATTTTTATTTACAATGCGATAACTCGTTCATTATATGAAGTCAGGTAACAACCTCGTCCCCAGGGCCATCTCGGCCGACTCCGTTTCAAGATGGCGGTCGTCGGGGAGATGACCCTGGCGTTGGCTGAACTAAGCCGCTTTCTGATTGGCTATTCAAAATGCTTTTTCTTATATCACTCATTATTGGCTGTTTATGTTCGTCTATAGGTCGGGATGTGTTCGACACTGTCGGTATGTCCGGATAACCGTTAGGTCTTTGATCGGTTATTGATTTAACCGTTACGATGCGTTCATTGTTTTTATTCAAATATTCCCGAAATTTAATCAAGGTACGTTTTGTCGATTAAAAAGCAACGATATTCTTTGGAATTCTTGTCAGTTGTCCTCTTATGTCTCTTTTGTCCAATGCGTGGTTTTGAGATGCCAACTACTCGTGTAAGAAATTTAACTTGACGGATATATTTAGCGATAGCATTCGATGTTATAGAAGTCTTCTACTCGCCGATTTCTGCAGTGAGCGGATCCCTCAAGAATTCTAGAATGAACTGGATCTACTCCCGTAGGCGGTCTAGGGGTCAACACTGCCGATGACGGCAGGACGGAAGGACATTTTTCAAATAAATCATCAAAACAAAGCAAATACCGACCCACCACAGCTATCCCAGTTTGTGAAACCGTTGAGTTCACGTTTCGAGCGCCATTTTGAATAGATAAGCCACGTGATCAAAACCTCCAAAAATCTTGRAGGTTTTGATCACGTGATTCCAGCCAACGCCAGGGTCATCTCCCCGACGACCGCCATCTTGAAAAGGAGTCGGCCGAGATGGCCCTGGGGACGAGGTTGGTCAGGTAATATAGCTAACATGATTGCCGGATGTGACGTATTCAATAAAAATTCTAAATTATGGATAACCATTCAAGAGTTTTAAAACAAAATATCACAAATGATCACTTTGTAAATATTTCATCATATCTTTTTTGGATTCAATTAATTGTTATATAGTGTATATTTTTTGAACAAGAGTAAAAGAAAGAAACTGCAACTACGACGATTCTAAACATCCGCTTTCAAAATAGTTGAATAAACAGATCAGGGTCTGAATGGGGTTAACTGTTAACTGAGAAACGGCTAAAATAATAACTGTTAACTGAGAATTTCGGGTTTATTTAGCTGATAACTGATATTAACAAGATAACTGTTAGCTAATATTCCTTTGTTTGCACATGTTTTGCATGTAGGTGAACCTTGTTCCCAGTGCTTCCTGTTGTTGTTGTTGTTTTTTTTTTTTTTCAAAAATGGCGGACAGAGATAGCCCTAGCATCGTCCGGTCACGTGACACCGACTCTCAGTGGATGTTTATAGTTTGGAATACCGCTGAATGCAGGCGCCAAAAATGACACGACCCCCGATGACGATTCCTTCGCTTTGTATGTGCTATCACGCACTCTGGCAGGGACCAGCGCTTCGTGCGAACGATAATTTTTAGCAGAGGGTCTCAATGGGGTTAACCGTGAGCCACGAAACGTCTGAAAAATTAGTCGTGAGTCGTGAAATGGAGAAAAAATTAGCCGTGAGACGTGAATATTTTTTTATAGCGTGCATGAGACGTGATTCAGTTTTATTCCTCAGAAGGACAGTCAACTCCATTTTTTTGTAAATTTACAAAATAAAAGCTCTAGTGGAGATTTTTTTTAAATTTTGCCTTGCAAGAATTTTTTTCGGCCCTTCGGGCCGTGCAGAATTTTTCGCACCTACCAACAAGGTGACACTGCTCCAACGTTTACCATCTCTAGCACAAAACAAATTACATGAAAAAGTATTCATTTCAAAATTTCTCAAAGTAATCTAATTAACCGTGATTCGAAAACAATAGTCGTGTGTCGTGATGCGTACCACCCCATTGAGACCCTCTTAGCAGTACGGCGTCTGAAAACCTGCTTAAGATCAAATATGACACAACGACGATTTAGCAATCTCACGCTACGATAAATGATCTTTGAATTGTCACGATCAAAAATGTCTTTTTTCATTGTTAAGTTACGCGAAATTTCCATAAAATCATATGTCTTCTCGATGCTCTCAAAATGCTGGAAATCGCATTTCCGAAGATTAAAATTCAAAAATTTTCCGTACCCCTCTAGGAAAAACTCGCGCCTTCGGCGCTCCTCAACCCCCACATAATCAACTGCTCCGCGGTCCCTGCTGATGCATTTTAAAAAGTTGACTTCACCAAAGCCATCTATCATCGTTATGAATGGTGAAAGTATTAGTTTGCTACTATAGAAAGGGAGGAGGAGGTACACTTTGAGAGTTATCAGAGTTCCAACATTAACAACAGTGTTCAAAGCTCAGTATTAAAGCTGAAGAACCATTTGGGGAATTTTCTTAGCCTGAAAGAACAGACCACTGCATGTTTCTTAATAACTGAATATTTAGTTGTTAAATTATTACACAAAAATAATAATTAACATGTGGCTTAACTGAGAATCGAGAAATTGAACTGATAACTGAGAAAATTGCCAAAATTTAGCTGTTAACTGATATCAGGACCCCCCCATTCAGACCCTTACAGATCAAAGGTTTATAAATTTCACGAGGACTTTTAAATTAAGTACAGATCAACATTACTTAAAACTATAAACAAAGTACCTTTACAATGATCAGCCATGTGAACCGTACATATGTCTTGGTCTGAGCAATTGACTACATCATCAACGATTTTGAACACATTGCCGTCGAGACATTTACAAAGAACTGGTGAGGAACATTCAGAAGCATTTCTCGATGACCAATGAGTTAAATTAATATTTCCTGGAACAGCTGACGACTTAACAATAATTAATAGGTACAATATTGAAAAAAGTAAAGTCATCTTTACTCTACTCTGAACTCTACTCCGCGTTTGCATTTACATCTTACGTAGCCAAGGTCGAAAGCGAAACTGTCAAAGAAATCGGTTCATGATTGGACAGTTAAAGATGAGATTAGAAGAAAAAACAATTATCTTCCGGTCATGTCACGGTTCTCAGCTTCCGTTCTAGCTAAAAACAAAGTTAATTGACGAGTGAAGGTATCCTTTAGCAGCATGATTGTGATAAGAAAAATGTCATCCCTGATATACATTTTCGACATCATAGCAGCCTTATATAGTAAGAATAATAATAGTTTTATACTGAAAGTAAGTTTATATTGTGCAATTTTAACCCTTTCGGCGCCAAAGTCGACTCGAGTCGACTTCCTGTATGAGCGCCCACAGGGGGCCCAGGCTGAGAGGACGTGATGAGAGGACGTGATGTAATGTAGTTGTAGTAGTGGGTAGAGGCCGAAACTGGCGCTTTTTACTCGGGGTTCCAAAGGAATCCCGAGTTTAAATTTCGGGCTTCTTATTTTTATTTTTCTTATTCATTGTCGTCGCTTATCAGTCACAAACTGTCCAACCTATCACGTGACATTCACATCTTCCATGTGCTATCTTGGATTTCGTAATGGTGGCGAAGGTTAACCGATGGAAGAAGACATGCATTCAACGTCAGATACGCTCAAATCACTTACAAATCCATACACCATTCGCGTATAGCCACACTTAGTAAAAGATGTCGAGCGTTTTTCGAGAGGGAATTTTGAGAGATACCATGAATTTATCGTAAAACTTATAGTCTTATAGTGAAGTTTATTTTGCGTATTTTGCTGTCTATCGATCGCAGTCCATCGAGAATTGTCTTATCGCGAACTAGCATATACAGGCTCTGAAACTACAAAGGACTTATCTAAGGAATACAAACAGAAATCTACCAAGGACAAACCGATGATTGGAAGTATTTTATTTAGCGGAGAAGATAAAAAGCTCTGTGTTTATAGCCTGCCATGTGACTGCTATCCCCTGCTATCAAAGTGAGGACGCGGCTTGCAGCCAAAGATTTAAATAATTATAAGCTTACAAACTGAAAAGATGTCAACAAATAATAATAATGGCAAAATTAATTCAATAATTATACAAAAGATAAACTCCACAAGTAAATTAAGGGTGATATTTATTGGTACTATGCACTATGCCTTCTATTACCCTGCGAGCAGAGTGTATTTCCTTACCTCAATAAAAATTCGCGAAGGAATTCGCGAATTTTTATTGAGGTAAGGAAATACACTCTGCTCGCAGGGTAGCCTGCTATGCAAAGTAGTGTTTTCTTTCTCTTAGCCGTATTTGATGCACTGCAACAATCGCAAGTGTAAACGAGCCTTACCAAAGAAACTACAAGTGTACAAACTTTATCGATATAACCATTTACGCTGAATATTAATCTATCGGATTCACTACAGTACTAGATTTTTATCAACAAGAACCCCGAGTTCACGCAGCTATGCGTCTAGTTTTCTTTGTTTTTCTGGCGCCCGCCCACACGGCTAGCCACTCGATTTTTTGTTAAAAAACGCGCTTTTTGTTAAAAAACCCACTACTATGAGAATTAATAATAGAGCGTTTATTTTAATAAGTTCCTTCATATTTCAAAAAAAGAAAAGCCAGTTAGGCTTGCTACCGACGCATTTAAAAGTTACGATGAGTTTGAATTTTTATTTCATAAAGTTTCTAATAATACAATAGCTCAATGCGACTTTAGAAGTAAAGAATATAAATTCGGTTATTGTATCTACGAATTCTTTAGCACGTAATCTTCTATCTGCTTCCATTATTTCCATTATTTCTTGTTTTTCATAATCTGATAATTTAGTTTTCTCTTGCTCGTCGCCCATTATATATTAATAATATTTTAAAGTCTAGAAAAAAGTGCAAAACTGGTTTTACCAGAAACCCCATCGGAGAGTTGAATCGTATAGTATACCAGGCAGTATACTAAAAACCCGATGGGGTTTTTTGCATTTTGGGCTTACGAGGCATATTTCATCCCACGCCAGAGACCCGCTAGTACAGACATTTATATGGGCTTACGAGGCATATTTCATCCCGCGCCAGAGGCCCGCTAGTACAGACATTTATGGCGAAACCCTCCATTGAGTTGAATCGCCGAGTGGTTTTACATTTATTTGCCACTCTACAATGTGAATAATAGGAGGGGATTCTATTACTCACAAGGGCCCAATACTTGCGGCCCAAGCAGGATACGAACCCATGACTCAAAGCTCCCCTCAGACTTCAAGTCGCTGGATTATACCGCTCGGCCACACGTATCAGACAGTGACGTTAGTTTCAATTTTGGGTATTTATAAGACTCGGCGTATGATCATGACGTGTTTCTATTTTTAGAGTCTTATGCATAAGACTCGGTCTGTTTATAGTCCAAATTCATCTCTCTGCATATTAAACGCCACTCGGCGTCATTCTTTTTTAGAGTTTTTGGATTTTGTAAGTGTATGAATTTCAATATATCAATCTCACCCAGAAGTTCAAATATTTTGAAAATGTAATAAGGATAATAAATCTTATTTTTATGAATCAACTCGTCGATTTGTTTTCTGGCGTCAATAACCCTTATAAAGATATATTGCGCTCTAATTATATTTTCTTCAGAAACYTTTGGTATTTCTTTACCTGTTACACCGTAGTAAATATGAGAAGAGAACTTATTCAGATCAGCCCGCTTTATTTCTTTTAGACTATTTCTAATATCTTCTACGGTTTTATCATTAGCACAAGCATCTAAAACATTAGTAGGTAAAAAAGTTTCTCTACCGAGAGTAGTATAGAGTCAGCAGTTGGGACCCCGTTTTTTGTGGGATTTGTGGAAAAAATCTGTTTGCTCATGAATATTTGTGGGTTAATATATTCAATATTTTTGTGGGCTATTACATATTCATTTTTGTGTGCCTTTCACTTAATCTCCGAACAATAGTCCTTTTGTTCTCTATTGTTTCGTCTAAGCGGTTATTTATTGCTTCAATCTGGGCTGTTATAGTCACTCTGCGCTCTGACTGACTTGAAAATAATATATTTCTTGTGGAAGATTTTTGCTGCAATGAATAGAATTCAGATTGACGAAGTTGAAATGGCTGAACGTGCTTTCCTGCTGGAGCTGATATCAACGGTCTTACAACTCTCTTATGCTTCTTTTTGCGAGTATCAAATTTGGGAACTGATAAATTCTGAGTGTGAAGGCTGCAAACTTGAACTACCAGCCCAAAGAGATCATATTTGTATGATGACTGAAAATGAAGAAGCATTTAACCTCTATTACGACGATGCCATGCAGTTAGTGGACTCCAATCGAGTGTGGGAATTAGCAAGTGAAGTATGTGAGCAATACCTTGATTTTAAAATTCACCCGTCGTGGCAAATTTATACTCCTGAA